TATTCTTTTAGGCCAGTTGGACCATAAAAGGTATAATTCTCCAAGTTTTATTTTATCATGAGGCATTCTCTAACAGTAGCCCTTTAAGATGAACACAACACATTTATAGAAAAAGTTGGTATTATTTATTTAGGTCTAGGTATCCTACAACTACATATTTATTCTACTGACATCTCAACAAAAAGAATTCCCAACAGGCATATAGTATATGTTTAGTCCAGAAATTTTTTTGTACATGTTTTTAAAAATGAAAACAATGAAAAGATCCTTCAGGGGCCATTTAATTAAATTATGGTACAACCAATTGATAAAACTGTGCAGTTCTGAAATAACATGGCTGGGCTGCTACAGGAAGATTTCCAAGACATATTATTAAATGAAATTTTAAAGATGAGTTGGGCAAAATATTTAGCAATTAGCAAGTTTTAAATATGACAGGTGAAAAAATATGCATTGATATTAATCTGCTGTTGTAGTTTTTCTATTTACTACATCCATCAACCATTTACTGATTACCCTTTGATCAAAATACAAGGTATTGAGAGAGAGAGTGAGAGAGAGAGTGAGTGAGTGTGTTGGGAAATGGATATATCTGTATTTAAGTAGAAACACAGAAACCTTACTAGGTATTTCAAACAGAGGGAATTTATTACAGGAAATTGGTTATACAAGTATCAGAAGCCTGAAAACGCAAAACGGGGGTGGTGACTGTATCCACTTCCCATTACCACTTAACCCACTTCTCTTCCTTTTTCATTGTGCCTCAGGCTCTCCTCTCAACAACTGCTCGAATGTGCCAAACTTTCTTGCCTTGAGGTCTTGGCCTTTGCTGTACTTTTGTTCTCGAATGCTCTTTTCCTATATACTTTTATGGTTTGCTCCCTCGTTTCTCCTCTGCTCAGTGTTCTATTTAAATATCACTTTTTTAAAGAGGACTTGGATGAATTTCTTATCTAAAATAGCAACTGCCATTACTTTCCACCCCCATAATTGGCTTTAGTGGTTTTTATGGCACTTACCACTACCTGACATTATTTTCTGTATCTATTTGTTTGTTCTCACCACTAGAATGTACATTCCACGAGAAGAAAGATTGTCTTGTTCACTGTTGTATAAGGTGCCTAGGACAATGCCTAGTGTTCAGTAAGCACTTGACAAATGTTTGTTGAAGAAATGAATGAGTTAGACTCACAGACTGAACCCTACCTGTCTTATGCAGGTAACTGATATTTTTATTGCCTCAGTTTCCTCATCTTTCAAATGGGGATCATTTTAGCATCACAGGTTTATTCCTTCAATTATATGGGAAATGTCTGTCATTTGTAGATATTTGACATATACAAGTATTAGTCTCCTTCTCACAAAAGCTTCATTCAGTAGGTCTGATAAGGTAAGAAGCCTTTATTTAAATAAGTTGAACTCTACCTTGGTTTCACTTTAGAATCACCTAGGGAATTTTTTTAAGTACTAAGCTGGGTTCTCTCCTCCTGAGAGTCTGATTTAATTGGTCTGGTGTGATGCCTGAGAACTGGTAATTTTTAAAGTTCCCCAGGTGGATCTAACATGCAGCCAGCTCTGAAGACCACTGATTTCAAGTCATTAGTGGGGGCAGACAGGAGGGCTGGCTGTGTAACTCTCAGAATCCACTGGAAGCCCTGTAAAACCTGGCCCTTCCTACACCTGGAAATCTCTCGAAGCCAGCTTGGCTTATTTCCTCCAGTACAAATCTTCAACTGGCAGACTAGACAGATGGTTATTATTTATCCTTCCTGCTGTGTTAGAAAGAAAAAAAATGAGCTCTGCTTCAGGTTTTTCAAACAATTTTTACATATGTAAACCATTACCTTTTTATATGCTGTTAGGTATTAGAAAGGAGAAAAGGAAGCTTAAAAGAGACTGGGTAGACTAACATGTATTTTGTCCCGTTAAAACTTTT